GCTGGCATAGTGGCGCATGCCTGTAGTCCCAGATACTTGGGAGGCTGAGGCAGCAGGATTGCTTGAGCCCACGAGTTTGAGGTTGCTGTGAGCTAGGCTGACACCACGGCACTCACTCTAGCCTGGGCAACAAAGCGAGACTCTGTCTCAAAAAAAAATAAATTAAAAAAAAAGAAAAATACCCAATGTTCTTATTAGAGCTATTTAAATATCCAATCTATATGATATAGTTAGGAAACAAAGAATTTCAGTTATTTCACAACTTTGCCTTTTTTCAGAATCATTAGTCTACCTTCTAGTATCCAGTCCCTATAGACAGCAGTCCCCAACATTTTTGGCACCAGGGACTGGTTTCACGGAAGACAATTTTTCCATGAACAAGGGTAGGGGTGTGTGGGTGGTGAGGAGGGATGTTTTCAGGATGATTCAAGCATATAACATTTACTGTGCACTTTATTTCCATTATTATGTTATAACATATAATAAAATAATTATACAATTCACCATAATGCACAATTAATGGGAACCCTGAGCTTGTTTTCCTAAAACTAGATGGTCCCATCTGGGGGTGATGGGAAACAGTGAGTGATCTGACAGGAGGCAAAGCTCAGGCTGCAATGCAAGGGAGGGGGAGCGGCTGTAAATACAGAGGAAGCTTCACTTGCTTGTCCGCCACTCACTTCCTGTTGTGCAGCCCAGTTCCTAACAGGGCACGGACTAGTATCCCTCCACAGCCTGGAAGTCGGGGACCGTAGCCCACAGATATAGCCAATCAATGGCAAAAATAAACATGAAGTCTATACCAGCTTCTAGTTAGAGGCAGACGGTAAATGAATGGAAACCAGTAAAATCTCGAACTGAATGACATCTCTACAGAAGCAGAACAGATGTTCCTAAGGAAAAATATAATAAAATGGACTTTCCATTTGACTCTTGTGACATGTCAAGCTATCATTTGACACTTGTTCTACATAAAAACTATAGCTCTGCTTCACATGGTGAAACCAGTGCAGATATAACATGGCAGCAAGAGCAATGGTGTAAAATGGCTAAAGAACAGGGGCCTAGGGAACAGGGGGCCCAGAGACACTCACATGGAAGCTGATGTCCTTAGGCAAGTGATGTGATTCACTTCAGACTTTTATTTGCAGATATAAAACCTAAAATTTCTCCTGCTAACATGAGGGAAAAAACCCAAAATTCCTTCGTTCTTTTGCTGACAGATTTGTATTGAGCTGGTTTAGAGATACTTGGTAACCAATAAACTCTAAAGGCAGCTCAGGAACATGAACAAAGTTCTGCCTTCAGGGAATCTACAACCTAGATGGAATCAACAAGCAAAAAAAAGTAGAAAATTCCAAAAAGTAAAAAGGTGAGACCAATGTAACCACATCTCTCATCTGGCATTGGCAGAAATTCAGATGTTTTATACAGATTAGTTTTCTAGAATCAAACTTGGGTAAGTATAAAATTTTTAATGATTTTTAATGAAAAATTTCCATAAAGCATTATAAACATTTTAGTCTTTTAAAATGAAGACTAACAGACATACTGAAGCTTTCACTGATGAAGAAAGCATGATACAAACTTCAATTGCCAATGAGGGTGCTCTCAAAGGTCCCATGCTATCAGCCTTCTTTGATTTCTTTCACATCAGGTGTTCTAACTCCCTTACTATTTTAGTCAGTCAGTCATGGAAAACCTTAAATGCTTGTCTGTTTTCCATAGATTCCCTAGGTAGCATACTGCACGTGTGTGAATTTTCCTCATATTTAAAAAATACCTCACTTTTTCAAAATAGTTTTTGTTAAAGTTATAAGAAAACTGTATTATGAAACATTTAGAAAATAAAAGGGGAAAATCATCAAGATCATCCATATTTTTCTTATTTTTCTGGTAGAGATGTAAGACAAAGATGAAGAGCTGAACATTGGCTCACTACACAGCAGTTGCTAGTATAGTAGTTTATCTCAGTCTACATAAGATATAAAAAGCTTTCTTTATATTCAGTGCTACCAATCTATACAGCATATTTTTCTTAAACTATTTTTAATTGAAAAAACAAAAATTTAATTTTAAAAGGAAACAATAATTCACTTATTTAAAACATTTAAACTATACACCAAAAACAAACTAGAGCTACAGACTGGGAGAAAATATTTGAAAAGCATACAGCCAACCCCCTAAAATATATATTTGTACAAAATCAGTAAGAAAAAGACAAACAACCAATAGAAAAATTGGAAAAGAACACAAACAGGCAATTCATAAAAAATACAAATGTCCAATAAGCATAAGAAAAAAAGTTCAATCTTATCAGCAATTAGGGAAATACAATTAAAATAATAGGAGATACATTTTAAGCCCATCAGATTGACACATGGTAAGTCAGATAACACTGAGAACTGGCAAGGATATTAAAGAATAGACACTGCAATACACTGGGTTTTATTCTGTTTGTTTGTTTGTTTTTGAGACAGAATCTTGCTCTGTTGCCCAGGCTAGAGTACCATGGCATCAGCCTTAGCTCATAGCAACCTCAAACTCCTGGGCTCAAGTGATCCTCCTGCTCAGCCTCCTGAATAGCTGGGACTCCAGGAGCACAACATCACACCCAGCTAATTTTTTCTATTTTTAGTAGAGATAGAGTCAGGCTGGTCTTTAACTCCAGACCTCAAACGATCCTCCTACCTCGGCCTCTCAGAGTGCTAGGATTACAGGCATGAGCTACCCCACCCAGCATGCAATACACTCTTGATGTATAACCACTTTGGTAAGTATCGTGGCAGTCTCTAATATAGTTTAAGATCCACATTCCCAATCGCAGCAACTATCTTTGAGAAACTCACATAACCACACTAGGATTAAGGAGTCAGAATGTCATTACAGCACTGTTGGTTATTTGGAAAAACTGGAAACGTCCAAGAATTTGTGAACAGAATGTATAATTTTTATATATTCACAAAAGAAGAAAAAAATGAATGCACTAGAACTACATGCATCTATAGATACATAAATTCAAAAAACATGGGGTGTCTCTTCTGCAATATATAACTATACATATAAATTTCAAAAATGTGGGAACTTTCTTCTACAACTTAGACATACACACACTTTTTTAATATAAAGTTTAAAAACATGCAAAGTACTATTATATAACCTTACATATTATTTATGTACAGAAATATTTATAGTAAGCATGATAACCACCAGGACAGTAACTATCCTAGGAAAAGAGGAAAAGGAATGGGGGGGGGGCACTTCAATCTTAACTGCAATTTTTTTGTTGTCATGTAATTTGTCGCTCTTTTCAAATTAAATGCAAAATTTTGTTTAGTTAGGATTTCATTTAGTGTAGCATCAATAAATAAAAACAGAAAAGGCTTAGTGAAAACAATCTTCAAAAATAAGGTATACACAGAATAAATAAGATATTAAAGTTTAATACAGTTGGGTGGTAGGTACATTGGTGCTTATATTATTTGCCATACTTTCCTGTATATACTGGAAACATTACACAACAAAAATCTGAGAAATATTTAGTTTAAAAAAATAAACACTATTTTTAGCTCTCTGACTACTTTCATCAAACTTCAAATCCCTTTTGTGTGAATGAGATTACGTGTAGCAGCCCACAAAATGAAAACCTATTCTCCAGGTGATATATAGCAGCCCATCACTGATTCTGCTGAGAGTTAAAGAAATGAAGTTAAGGTCAACCTTTGACCTCTAGAATAAGAAAAACACTTTAGATACTATCCTCTACTGGAATATTAACAATATACAACTGTAAAGACACTTGAAGTTACACAAGAACATCAACTAATTGAATAAGACTTAAATCCAAAATGATTTCAATTTCATTGTACTTCTAGTAGGGCAACCAACTCAATCCTATTTGCTCAAAACTGTCCCAGTTTTAGAACAGTCCTGTGTTTCAGAATCTCTGGTATCGGGCAAACCAGAACAGCTGGCCACCCTAACTTCTGGTCACATCGAAACTTTTGAGTTGGAAGAGAATTTTGAGACTATCTAGTAAATCACCTCACTTTACAAATGGGAAAAGTGAGAATCCTAAATCCTCAGTGTGTAAAGGGAACTTCCAGGCCACTGAGTGCTACATTCCAACTGCCATTCCATAAACTAATCCTCTGCAGATCTGGCTAATGGTCTTCAAGCCTTATGTGACTGCTTTCAGTGATAAGTATACACTAGTCTATAAGGCAGCACATGGATTTTCAGACATACTATAATTGTGAGAAAATTCTTTTTACTGATTCAGAACCTATTTCCTGGTAGCTTTCATCATTGTTCCTAGATCTGCCTTCTGGTCCTAACAGAGTAAAGTCCAACTCCTCCACGCCCTAGTGCCACCTGCATAGCTTATAGTTGGCCTTGTGTTTTCCCCATTCCGGCTCCACCTCTAAAAATCCTACTGATTCTCCAGTCATCTCACAGGATGTCTGTGAAGTTTGTACCCAATATGTAATGATCAGCTAATAGGGTTGTAGGCACATTTGATGTTTGTGTGTGTAGCTGCTGAACAATCTCTTTGTCCCATGGAACACATTATATTCCTTCCTGATTTCCTCCTTTGAACTCTAGAACCTCTACATTGTGCAATCATCCTTTCAATGAACATTTACTGAGCACTGTCAGGAACTGTGCTAGGTATTGAAAAAGATAAATAAAATGTACTCAGCCTGTAGAAAAGAAAGAGCAAGACAAATAAAAGAATAAACAATGTGAACTATGAGGTGCTATACACCTCAGGAAGTTGGAGAAGGCTTCAATTGAGGGGGTGATACCTGAGCCACGTAGGAACTATATCAATACTCATGCCTTAAATAGCCTTGTGTGCCCCAGCATTCGGTTGAAGTTCAACAAATATATAAATTAGGTAAAGTAGAGAAAGCCTACTCAGCCCTCTGAGCATCTCTTGGAGGTGAGGGGGGATGACAACTGAGTTATATATTTCTTTTTAGAGGCTGACACGGTACCTGGCTACGTACAGTATTGCTCAGGTGGTTATCCTCGGACATCTGTGCATTCTGGAAGTAGGACAAGGGTGCAGGTAATTCTGTCATTGGAGCAACTGTTTAGAATTATTTTTTCACAGGACACAAAGCCTCTTGGGGTTCTGAAAAGGGAAAAAGAAAACAGAACTTTGTATATTATTATATTTTTATTTTTAAACATTTTCATAAATTACACTCAGCAGAAACAAACCTTTCTTTCATGTGTTTTCCTCCAGGCCAAACCGTCTAAGGACCTTGAGGGCTGCTGTCACTTGTAGTCTCCTGGATTAGGTCTGAAATAGGATTTTACCAGGTCATTCATTGTTGGTTAAATCTTAGCAAATTCACCCACACCAATCAAATACTTAAAAGACCAATTTGTAAACCAGAAATGTATTAATTTGTCATGACCTTCAACTAAATGGTAAACTTATTGTCAGCTCATAGTAATTCTTTAGCAATGAGACTTGCTACACCACTTGCTACACTTGAGATACCAAATATTTTCAATCACAAAGATACTTAATGATTTCAGATGTAGACCAAAGAGAGCTGAATGATCTTAAGGAATGTTTTTAACATTCCTTTTTCTATGCTGACCAGTCTAACCTGATTTTTGTATCTCCATAAAAGTATTTTTGTTTAGTGCTTTTAATTTTGTACTATTCTTTCTATCATCTCATTTTATCCTTATCACAATACCTCAAGGCAAGGTGAACAGGTAATATATCTATTTTACAAAAGCAGAAGGGGACCCAAAGAAGTTCAGTGACTTAAGACCACACAATTAAGGCAGACAAGGACAAGAATCACGGACTCTTGACTCCCAACTCCCAGCTTCAGGTCTCTCCTCTGCGTCCTGGCATTGCCTTTTTTTACAGACATGGCTCTGTGGCTATGTATCTCAGAGTTCACCCTCTTGGGGGGCCACATTCCCATTTGCCTATCTTAATTTCCATCAACCAATTCTTTTTATTTTATTTTTTTTTGTAGACAAGGTCTCATGCTGCTGCCCAGGCTAGAGTGTAGTGGCACAATCATAACTCACTACAGCCTCAAACTCCTGGGCTCAGTGATTCTCCTGCCTTAGTCTCCTGCATAGCTAGAACTACAGGCATGTGCCACCATCCCCAGCTAATTTTTTTAGAGACAGGGTCTCACTATGTTGTCCAGTCTGGTCTTAAATTCCTAGCTTCATGTGATCCTCATGCCTCAGCCTCCCAAAGCACTGGGATTACAGGCATAAGCCACCACACCCAGCCTCCATCAGCCAATTCTTTATGATTCCAATTTTTCCTTTTTATAGTATCTTCAGAAATATAGAGGGTAAAAATCTGTGTACATACCCAAGCAGTATTCTAATTAATGTACAGTATCTAAGACATTATTGTTCACGTTTACATAAAAAAGCATTCTGTCAAAATCCTGTTTCATTTCCACTTTTAACACTTCATGATCCTCTAAATCCACATTTTTCTTCTAATGACTTCTCATCAAAAATGCATAAAGCAATTTTTTCCTCTAGTAAAGGTAACAAGTTCACATGAACCCTTAACTACCTACATTGGGATCATTCAAATCATAATGAATTTTTAACCATGGTAGGATTTCCATGCTATCCTATACACTTTTATATACCATATCCATTTTTCTCCTCCCCTCTCCTTTAGCCCATAATCAGCTAGCATGGGATCAGAGAACTAAAAATCAATATGAACTAAAGACATAATGTAAATTTGTTAAAAAAAAAAAAAGTGAATTAAGAAATAGAGACAACAGTTACTCTTTGGGGGGCTTACTCACTGAAAGAAGGGACATGGAAAGCTCCGGGGTATCAGTAATATTCTGTTTCTTGATCTGGGAGCTAGATACAATGCGGATTCAGTTTGTGAAAATTCACTGAGTTGTAGTCTTATGATCTGTGCACATTACCATATTATACTTCAGTTTAACAATTCAAATAAATTTCTGTAGGAATAAACCTATATTTAGGATTATTCATACCTTTGGTCCTGCCTTTTAATATGGATAAAATTAAGATTTGGCAATACAGATGGTTCCTGACAGCAGTTTGACTTAGGATTTTCTGGATTTACTATGATGCAAAAGCAATATGCACTCAGTAGAAACTGTACTTTGACTACCCAAATATCCACTCTGTTTTCCACTTTCAATATTCAATAAATTACATGAGATATTCAACACTATTATACAGTAAGCTTTGTGCTAGATGATTTTGCCCAACTGTAGGCTAATGTAAGTGTTCTGAGCATATTTAAGGTAGGCTAGGACAAGCTATGATGTTTGGTAGGTTGATATATTAAATGCATTTTCAACTTACTTACAATGGGTTTACTGGGATGCAACCACGTCATAAGTACAGGAGTATCTGTATGTATATTAACATATGTATATTAACTCTCCCAAAAGAGAGTGGACTCCAGTAGAAAAGTTATATTTTTGAAGTACAATAAGTATTTAAAGTAAATGTTTTGACCTAAGCATCTAGATTTTTAAAAGCTGACTGACTAGCTGAAATTTTAACAGTGTAGCACTATTGATGAGTAAACATAGTACATATTTAGCCCTTCCTTTCCACAAAGACATTTAGTACAGCACCTACTTCTTTAGATAATCTTATGCTATAAATTTAGCATAAATAAAATAATACTAAATAATAAGAAAAGTGATTATCCATTCACTAAATAAGAGAGACACACTGTCTACTTACATGCAAAACTCAGAGACAGAAACTTAGGAGATTTAATAATTTATTATGTTCACTTTACCCACTTTACAGATGAAACAATGGCATACAAAAGTTAACTAACTTAGCTAAGGTCACATCTGGCAAGCAAGGAGTTGGAATTCACATATTACACTATATTACCTCTGTATAAAACTCTATCCTTGCTCTCTAGGAGTTTATAGCAATGAGGATTAAGGTACATTAAGCTGACTTTTATTACTAGTAAAACTATTGCTGAGATCTTAAGCTTCAATAACTGGTCTAACTATAAACTGAAAACTGAAGTGCCAAAAGCATTCCCATGATACACTCCTAGTATGTATGTATGTACATGTTTATTTTTAAAGTATAAGCTATAATGAGTATCTGGTCATTTTAATTTAAGTAGTTTCCATTTTTACCCTTATGCTCATAGGATCTGTTCAGCTATGACATGAAACCATACAAGCTGATTACTACACTGGAACTTTTTCAGACAAATCCTGTAAGAATCATCAATAATATACTGGTCATTTTAGCATATCCCAAGCCTATCTTCAAAGTTCTTTTCACATCCATTATTCCATTAGATTCTTTAAAAAAACAAAACAAACAAACAAAAAACCTTCATAAGAAAAGAAATCTGCATTAACATGTAAAAAACCTCCGGAAAGCTGAAGGATTGTGCCTATGCAGTTATGGTTCTGGAATGCTGTTTCCAGAACTTAGGTCTTCTGATGCCCAGCCCAGGTCTTTTCCAGTTTGCCCAGAGAAATCTCATGCCTCCCTTGATGCTCTGAAGATCACAGTGCTACAGGGCCAGCCTCCCTAGAAGAGCTGCTCTTTACATGGAGCTTAGTAGAAAGCAGAAGCAGGCAACAGGGCTAGGTCTCAGTCAGGCCTGGTGAACAAACAAACACTGTTGGCGCAAAGAAAGGGGCAAGCAAAGCTCGATTTGATTTTGGTCCAGTAACAGCTGAAAACAATTGATGACTGCATGGAGAAGGTCAATGACCCCACTGTTCCAAGCAACGTGGCAAAAGACACTAGTAGACTTTAAAGCATTCTTAGCTGAGCCCAGTGAACACAAAAAGATAGTTACTCCGAAGTATGGCTCTCTCATGTGAGGGAGTGGGTGTAGGGACAGCATTGACTTTGGTGTTTCTGCTCTCTGGCAACCTGCTGAAGACTGACAGAGCATGACATATGAATTCACTGCTATCATTTCCTTCTCTCAAGATACTTGCTCAATCAGACAAAAGGAAAAAGAAATCCTCCTCTGATGGGCAACTAGAATTTTTTTCTATTATATACAAAGAGACTGAAAGCCCCAGGAGAACTACACACAATCTCTAAGCTTAGATCTGCTGAACAGAAAAGTCTGTCTAACCAGAAAATCTTCTACCCATTGGCACTTCAAAAACTATCACAGGAGCAATGCTTAGAATTTCAAGTTTATTAAAAATCCTGTTCAAGTGCCAACAGAAAAGCACATTCTTTTCTCTCACTATATCCCAAGGTAACAACTAAACCTCAAACTCCTAGAGAATGTAGTTACTTTATTATTGATAATTTTCTTTTTTCACTCTCAGATATAATATGTAAACAAAATTTGCACTCTAGAAAAACATCTTCATGGCGGGTGCAGTGGCTCACACCTGTAATCCTAGCACTCTGGGAGGCCGAGGCAGGCGGATTGCTCAAGGTTAGGAGTTCGAAACCAGCCTGAGCGAGACCCCATCTCTACCAAAAATAGAAAGAAATTAATTGACCAACTAAAAATATATATACAAAAAATTAGCCGGGCATGGTGGTGCATGCCTACTGAGGCAGTAGGATCACTGAGCCCAGGAGATTGAGGTTGCTGAGAGCCAGGCTGATGCCACAGCACTCACTCTAGCCTGGGCAAGAAAGTGAGACTGTCTCAAAAAAAAAACACAAAAAACCATCTTCATAAGAATCATGATCTCTAGCACAGAGGGTGTGTGCCTTGCTTTAACATCACTAAGCCACTTGACTTGTTACTTTTTCCCTTAGAAAAATGCTAACAGTATGTTTTGCTGTATCTGCATTGCAATGCTACGAAGTTTTCAAGTGCAAAAGAGCTTGTGATTTAATCATTTTCTATAAGAGTATTTGACCAGCCTTGGTGTTACTTTGATAATTTTCTCCCTCAACAGGCAGCCCAAGTTCTGATTGTATGGATGGGATAGAAAAGCCTCTGCTTGAGTTATTAAATGTTCACATCCAACAGTAAATGTAACCAAACTCTAAACTACATTCTTTAATTGAAACTAAAAAAAAAGTTTTAAATTAATTTAAAACTTTAGGAATATATCCT